TTACTAACGTTGATAATTACTACAAACCTACCTGTATTATTAACAAAAAATACATCAGTTTAGAATTTCAAACTTCTTCTGTAATTATTATGCATCATGAAAATAGTAACATCAGAATTATATCTCTGCCTTGTGTATCCTTACCAATTTTCTATCCTGCTAATATTTTTTCATCATAGGAAATAAGGTATCATTTATTTCAACAGTATGTTATAAAAAGGACCTTATACTTAGAAAAATACAGATTTTTTTAAGAAATACAGTTATCATCTTAAGTAACAATAAGGTCACAGATCTTGAGGGGAATTAGTCATTTCCATCAATCAAAAATCTTGTCCAAATAAGCAACATCTGGCGTAACGTTTTTTGGACTCTTCTAAAGAAAAGTACCATCAGGTGTTTCAGAAAGAGTAAGCATGGTCTGGTTCGCGCCGGACACCCACCACTACCACAATGATCAAAACCGTGAGACACAACCAGATTAATTCATGTCTGACTTAACAAATCAGCCAAAATGAAAAAAAGGAGATATATTATATCTAATTCAAGAAATGTTCACGTAATATTTATTTAATTATCTGCCTTTTAAGCTGTTATTAAAGTTTCTTTATCTTTAGTTCCATAATAAAGTCATCTGTTAATCTATGCAAGTAGACCAAACATGCAATGTATGTTTTTGTTGAATGGAAATTGAAATGGAAGTTAGATATTTAGATGAATAAGGTTATATTCTTATAAGTTACTTGATAGAATTCTAATTTCTATACATTACTACAAAACATAATAATGGCTTATATTAATTAAAGGGACAGATGTACCATTTTTGACCAATCATACTTTAGTCTCAGAAACGGAAGTTTTTTAGCTAAGCCTATCAGCAATAGTGTTCACAAACTCACAAATCACTGACAAAATTTAAAGAGACAGGCATCTTTTCTTGAGACACTGTCATAAATATATAGACACAGCTTTATGGAACAACAATCACTGGTTAAAGTTTTATGCAATGTTTCGACGTGTTTCCCCTGTTGTCCTCAGGCACATAATGAGAAGAAGTGATGGGCAAACTATATATACATTAATGCTTATTATTAAGAACACACAAGAGATAAATGGTTTATTGATACATTACATTAAATTTTAACAGGTACAATAAGAGGTACATAATTCTTAAAATAACATACAGGCTGATTAAGTAAAATAATTGAAATAAAGTAAATGAATTAAAAAAGATTAATTGAAGATTAAATAAACAACTATTGCTGGTATTGGAGTCTTTTATTAATAAAAATTACATTGTTCATATAACTAACTATGCTTAAAGTTGGAAATTGTTTATTAAATACATTTATGAATATGAATAATTACAAGTTGATAATTTTATCATATGCATGCGATAAACGAACACCTTCATCTCTGTTAAGGTCAGGCTGATATCTTCTGATGTGGATAGCTTCATGAAGTCTCCTGGTTTTATCTATGTGCTTATTGATTGTCAGTATGTTGGTGTTGTCAAAGTTGACTTTATGTCCTGTTTTCCTTCCCATAAAGCTGTGTCTATATATCGTACTCACAATTGCTAAATGTCATTCAAAGACTGTCATAAATAGAAAAGACATCTATAGACATAGGGAAATCAATTTCTAGTTTGTGATATTTATGCAATTTTCCGTACATTTCTAGTACTTTTAAAGATTATTTACATATATTCAAGACTCAAATCAAACCCCAAAATGGGTTCGCAAATCTTATAAATTAGTGCCATTTCACTATTCCTACAGAATTTTGACTGAGATGATTAAATATAATAGCATTGATGTTCATATCTCTTCAAAAGTATACCCTTTCAATTTTTTCCAAACATGCGAACACAGGACATAACATTTCGTAATATATTTCCATTAGCAAACATTTCATATCCTTTACTCTCTAAATATCTATTCTATGTAAATGAGACAATTTAACATTGTTAAACATCACATAAAATATTATTTAAATGTCTGAACTCAACAAGGCTTTTTAAATGTCAAATTTTATTAAACAAAGAAAATACTAGAATTTTAAACTATCCAACTTTGTAGTTACTTTTTGAGGGAAAATAAAACTATTTTTATGTCTGGGTCAAATTTGCCTGTTGAAATCTAATCTGTTTCTTAAAAATTGTGTTAATGAATTTTGCTTCTTATTTATTTTTTGAAAAAATTTGACACAAATTACTTTGATTGAATCAAACATGAGTCATTTAGTTTAGTTAATTCCTTAAAGATGGGTGTTCTTATTTTTTAGTGTCAAATTAAGCAAACTATTTGATTAAGTGGTGTTTCTAATGAATTATTATGTATTCTCAATCATATAATTTATGTTCTTATTGCATATAATTAAGAGTTTGAACCAATCATAAATATCCATGTATGTACAGTCTATATAAACAAAAAAAGACTTTTTGACCTTTATGGATGGGTCACTCATTGGAATTCTGCTGGTAATTTTCTTCTAATTTAGCAACTCATATATTAATTATGGACATGTGAGACAAACTGGTATTTTTCCAAGTGTTTTTTTAAAAACACTTTTACTTTCTTTCATAGAAGTATTAAAATTTCCATTTTCATAAATGAAAATAAGGGAACCCATCTTTAAGAAAATAAATGCTTTATTTTTCATGACAGAGCAACACCTGAAGCTATACAGAAGCAAATATGATTAATTTCTTTTTCTACCTTTAAAAAAATCTGCTGCTGGGTAATTTAAAAAAAAATTCTTTACAAAACTTAATAATATACAAAAGAGAAATAACAAAAATGAAATAACATAAAAAAATATATTTTACCTGTAATTACAAATTAAATGAAAAACCTCAAATTAACAGCTTACTGTACTAAGAATAAAAGAGTTGAAATTACCTGATAGAAACTTTTAGCACATTGTCTTATAATTCCACAACAGACAAACAATAGAGTAAAAACAGTCTATTAACATATGGTCTCAAACACTAGTAATAGTCAATTTTAAAATACAACACTATCACACCATTATTTTACCATTTAATGTCATATCACCAACAATGTTCAAAATCTAAATCAAAACACACAGAGTTTTTAAGATCCAATTATAATCCTGTAGTATGGTAAGTAAAGGTAATGTCAGACTAACTGTGAAAATGTTGCTGAGTAGTGAAGTTTAAACCACACAACCTGGTGAGTGCCAACCATCTGTAGAAAGGTGGAGTTATTCTACTGATAGCAATAGTAGTATTTCAACCTTCTTTAATATGATAAATACATGTTTTTACATATCTCCCTTCCACAATCTGTTATTATTTATGAATATTTGTATCAAATATAAACAGAGATTGTTGACAGAATAAACATTGTTTTCTAATCTCATAACATATTTAAGTAAATATACAGCACAAAATAGCATATTGAACTGAGCAAAGTAGTGGTTTTTATCATCAATATGTTTCATGTTTCCTTATTCAAATCTATTCAATATAATACATCATATGAATAAACATTTTTACTTGGCAGAAAGACAAAACTAAGCACTGAATATTGCATTGGCCTCCTAACCAGGATGTTTTCATCAGAAATATAAGTAGGCCTATAGATTTTTTTTGGATACATGTGAATTTCTCTTAACACATGGTATATCTTCCACAAGCCATGCTATTCTAAGTATCATTGTATATTTCTATTCAAGGTTCTGCCAAGATAGAAATGAACTTCAACCCTCTTTGAATTTAAATATATGGGTGTAGTATATACATTTGACAAAAATATTTTTAAAGATATTTCGATGTGAGGATATTAATATGCAATTGCGTATTTCTTAATCTTATCAATTGTGCACCTTCTCAAAGAAATATATTGGTCTCTTGAGTTAACATTTGAACTTTTCAAAAGGAAAATGTTACAAAAAGGTTCATCTTTTGACCATTTCCAACATCTCTTCTTTATGTTTTTTCTTACATTGCAGATTTACCAGATGTTCGTTTTTTTTTTTAAAATGTACTCAATCAACTGAGAAAACATCTATTCAGAAAACTATAATATCTATAATAAGTAATGTGTGAATCTACAAAATATGCAACAAAAACATAGTCTGAGGCTATCATGTAACAATGAATATTATGATTCCAATCTTTGATGGACAATCTCTGTGGATCAAACAAACATCTTCATGTATCTTTTAAGAAAAACAATGACAGAGAAGCTAAGAGCTACTACTAGAGAGACATGTGGAAGATGTTGGTAGGAATGTTGGTAATGTATGGAATCTGTTTGGCTAGGATTTCAAATAAAAAACATGTAATACTAAGTATCAATACCTGCCACAGCTTCTTTCTCACTTAAATATCACTTCTGTAACACTTTCAATTTTCTCATAGAGATCTTTCTTTACATGTGAGCAAGATGGATAGGTAGTTTTAATGGTGTATCTTGGGAGGGTTTATATGACCACACACAGGGGTGTGACAAATGATCTAATATTCATTCATTATTCAATATTTTGTTTTTCTATACATTTTTCATTTAAGAAATCAATGCCACATGTCTTTGAAAGGGAGATAGTTTTCTAAATATTTCTTTTATCCTGAGGCTGAATTGCAGTTGCATTTTGCAAAATTAAAATCTGACACTAGGTTCACTGTACATGAAAATATCAATGCAAAATGTCTAGAAAGAGACGTCAGTCCAAACTGTACATTTTTTCAGTTGCATGAGAACTAGATGACTAATCTGAAAAGTGAAGAAAACAATTCAACAACTATAAACCTAAGTATATAAGTGCTAAAACTCAATAGGTTGGTCAAAACTTTCCTTTCATATACACATAAAGTAAGGAGTGTGTGACAAAGACAGTCAAGTGGCTAAATAGTCTGATGGTAAGTTTACCTGAGGAAATGACAGCTCAGCTGTTAAATAATCTGATAAGTTTACCTGAGGAAATGAGAGCCTGGTGGTTAAATAATCTAATGGTTAAGTTTATTGGAGGAAATGAGAGCCCAGTTGGTAAATAATGTGATGGTAAGTTTACCTGAGGAAATGAGAGCCCAGTTGGTAAATAATGTGATGGTAAGTTTATTGGAAGAAATGAGAGCTCAGTTGGTAAATAATCTGATGGTAAGTTTACCTGAGGAAATGAGAGCCCAGTTGGTAAATAATGTGATGGTAAGTTTATTGGAAGAAATGAGAGCTCAGTTTGTAAATAATCTGATGGTAAGTTTGCCTGAGGAAATGAGAGCCTGGTGGTTAAATAATCTAATGGTTAAGTTTATTGGAAGAAATGAGAGCTCAGTTGGTAAATAATGTGATGGTAAGTTTATTGGAAGAAATGAGAGCTCAGTTGGTAAATAATCTGATGGTAAGTTTACCTGAGGAAATGAGAGCCTGGTGGTTAAATAATCTAATGGTTAAGTTTATTGGAAGAAATGAGAGCTCAGTTGGTAAATAATCTGATGGTAAGTTTACCTGAGGAAATGAGAGCCTGGTGGTTAAATAATCTAATGGTTAAGTTTATTGGAGGAAATGAGAGCCCAGTTGGTAAATAATGTGATGGTAAGTTTATTGGAAGAAATGAGAGCTCAGTTGGTAAATAATCTGATGGTAAGTTTACCTGAGGAAATGAGAGCCTGGTGGTTAAATAATCTAATGGTTAAGTTTATTGGAAGAAATGAGAGCCCAGTTGGTAAATAATCTGATGGTAAGTTTGCCTGAGGAAATGAGAGCCTAGTTGTTAAATAATCTAATGGTTAAGTTTATTGGAAGAAATGAGAGCTCAGTTGGTAAATAATCTGATGGTAAGTTTGCCTGAGGAAATGAGAGCCTGGTTGTTAAATAATCTAATGGTTAAGTTTATTGGAAGAAAAAAGAGCTCAGTTGGTAAATAATCTGATGGTAAGTTTACCTAAGGAAATGAGAGCCTGTTGGTTAAATAATCTGATGGTGCGTTTATTGGAGGAAATGAGAGCCCAGTTGGTAAATAATCTGATGGTAAGTTTACCTGAGGAAATGAGAGCCTGGTGGTTAAATAATCTAATGGTTAAGTTTATTGGAGGAATTAAGAGCCCAGTGCCCAGTTGGTAAATAATCTGATGGTAAGTTTACCTGAGGAAATGAGAGCCTGGTGGTTAAATAATCTAATGGTTAAGTTTATTGGAGGAAATGAGAGCCCAGTTGGTAAATAATGTGATGGTAAGTTTATTGGAAGAAATGAGAGCTCAGTTGGTAAATAATCTGATGGTAAGTTTACCTGAGGAAATGAGAGCCTGGTGGTTAAATAATCTAATGGTTAAGTTTATTGGAGGAAATGAGAGCTCAGTTGGTAAATAATCTGATGGTAAGTTTACCTGAGGAAATGAGAGCCTAGTTGTTAAATAATCTGATGATTAAGTTTATTGGAGGAATTAAGAGCCCAGTGCCCAGTTGGTAAATAATCTGATGGTAAGTTTACCCGAGGAAATGAGAGTCTAGGCCTTGATGTGGAATAATCTTATGGTAAGTTTACCTTTAGTTAGTAAGTAAGAATGAGAGCCCAAGAAGAAAAAGATGGAACTGAGATACAAGTAAGACATCAGTGAAGTTAGGTCAAGAGAAGGTAAGAGAATCTGATTGATGGGTAAGACATGGTATTTATTTATAAACATCAAGTTGGAACTATCTTGTACCTACCAGAGTATACTATATAACAGTAAAATGTTACAACACAGGTATACTGTATACATTTATTGTCAACAAATACATATGTTTTATTTCAATATTTAGTCAGAAGATTCTATTCAAATCCTCAAGAGTATTGTATCCTTTAAAAACTTGCTCATTTCATTCAGCTGCAAATGTAACTCGATTAGTCAAAACGGAAATTTAGTGGGATACGTTGCTAATAAAATTTTTCAATCTAAATTGAAACCTGACATAGGATATACAATTAGTTCCAAACCTACAAAACAATTGAGTGCACAATCTGTCAAATGATAACAGCAAAATTAAGGTGAGAAAATGATCCAAAAAAATTTTTAACTTTTAAATTTTTTAAATTTGTGCTATTATATTTTAGCACCTAATTAAATTGAGAAGAATAATTTGTTTAAAATTTATCACCAATGAAAGAAATGTTTTAAAGTGATAAATAGATGGATAATTAAAAATGCCATATATTGAAATGATAAATATACCAGTATTGTATATGTTTCCTATCTTGTTTATATAACTGTAGACTGATAGCCGTGTCTGTTTTACTCACAGGTTAAATGTCTTTGTAATTTACCAAAAAGTGGAGATTTGTTATCAAATGGCATCAGAATTAACCATCTCTACTGCTACCTTGTCTATCACTATAAATATCACTGTTTATTCTAACATTTACCTGTTGGCTTTCACTGATACCTCATGCCATTTTTAAACTTCAGAAAAATATTACTTACTTACCAATATATACATGAACCAAATTGATTTACACTGATTTACATTTTGGTATGCTCAACAAGTTATTCTGAAACTTAAAACTTCTTAAGGTTACACCTGACACAATAACAGTGTAAAAACTTCAATTATGTACCTGATTGTTATGAATAAGTAAAGGCAAGTAATCCATCTACAGACACTTATAAAGTTAGAATCTGAAATTCAGGATCTTAATACCAAGTGTATGTATCATGTAGTGACATTGAAGTCCCCTTTTCACCCTTTCAGATACAAACTAGAAATCTAGAAAAATTTGTCTGAATTATTATTTTTTTGTACAATGTAAATTGAAACTATTTTTGACATGCTCTTTTTAAAGAAGATGAAATAAGTTCTTGTAAACCAAGAAGTAAATAATAATGAAGTAATTCTGTGGGAAAAAGAGAATGTCACTTTAAAGGCATCCTCAGGACCTTATTACTATTAGAATATATCAGCTGATCAAATCCTCAATCCCATATATAACAGTCATTTGATGAACTTCATCCCAGCAAGAAACCATTTGGATTCTTTTGCTCTCTTACAATTTGCAATACACAAGTTTATCAGATCGGTGGGTTAGAATGAAGTGATTTGATTGACTTAATGCCACCAAGAATCTTATTTTGATTGTAGTCTATTTGTGAAAACCAAATAGCAACAAAGTCTCTATCAATTGCCTGTGTAATATTTCCATCTTGTACAGATTACAGAATGATCAAAGGAAACTAAAGAAGATATCAAATGTGCATAACAAAAAATAAGCTCAATAATCTTCTTAAAGTTCATAGCATCAAAGATGCAGAGAAAAAAAATGAGGCAATGCCAAGGTTTTCAGTATGTGCTGTTTTTTATTACAATAATCAGTAAAGGCAAGGAATGTAAAATGTATACATGTAAAAATTTCAATGATGCCTAGGTTTTATTTTATGTATCAAGAATAGAACGAAAAACTCCTGCAGAAAAGTTTCTAGATAAATAGTTTTTATGATGTGAAACTGCTCTTATATATCTTACAGGGTTACAGATGTGTAGATATTTGCTTTACCAGCAAAAAGAGTCAATTCCAGCTATCTAAAGACCTCAGATAGTATAAATGATTTTAAATATAGGCTTGTATATTCCTTTTTAACAAAAGGTCTTCAAATACAATAGGTCCAAAATGTTCTATAACCATGTTTCTAGAGTTTGCACTTGTTTGAAATGGGATTAATCCAGAGAAATCAGCCAATGGTCAGAATAACTAATGATAAATAAACAAAATAATGAATTGGTCAAGAATTAACAAAAGATGGAAATGGACTGAGTAGCATGATGACCAATACCCATTAAGCCCAGATTGCATGTTTGCAACCAATCTACCAATAAACTACTAACTCTCACATTTCTTTATTGGTAGACAGTAATAATAATACCAAGTGGTCATCATGGGACCCCAAATGAATCAGAGTTAAGGAGAACACTGATTATTTGCCCAGTGTGCTAATAGATAGAAATGATGAGAGAAGGAGATAATGATTAAAATACACAGAGACTACAGATGACTGACTACCAGTGAAACAATAAATTCTCCAATGACCTTAGCAATTAGAAAATTAGTCAACTAATGACGGAAGTCATGTTAAGTGACCTATAACTCCAGACTATTAAATTAGTGATTTCTACTGATATAGTTCAGCTGGGCTTAGTTTGTCACTGATATTTCTTCATACAACCACTTACAGTAGACCCTATAATAAATTTGAGATTACCATAACACCACTATGCTCTAAAATTGGACAAATGAGTGAATAGACTCTATTTGCTTGTTATGTCTGATTAGGTTTACATTTGCTTGCAATAATCACTGTTTTTATATACCTCATTTCAATGAATTTCAATACATGTTGATCTTTTACAGCTATGGAGAGTCTATATCAGCTTGCTTGCTAATCTAAAGGTCTGGTATTCTATCCTTAAATAGGAACAGATTCTACAATACAAAGATGTCTTAAGATTTTACAACCCAGTTTCCTTTATTCAATGATACATGTCAGAGGGGTTGACATGGAAAAGTCATTCTAATGGGACCATAAAACTGTGCACATCAAAAATCCCATGGAAAAAAGGCAGAATTTCGCAACGGAACTCATTGCACACTGGTTGGCATTACCAATTTTTTTTTTTTAGCTCAAATTAGAGTAAAATTGTAAGATGCAACACTCATTTCATCGATTATGTTGGTAAAACCATCATGCTTTTACTCGATGCTTGAGCAGAAACAAAACAGAAATAATCCACGATATTTACACCATTGCAGGAACTGTAGTTGAAAAAAAGCCATTAGAATAAATGATGTAAAAATCAATAAGAAATTGAAGCTGATTAAAAAACAGAAATGACCATGTGACCTATTAGATCATTGGTAGTTAGGAGGAGGAAGGATATTGGTGAGAAAAGGCGGATCAATTTTATATTCTTTAATTTACCACTATCTTAAACTGTGTCTGAAACTAGCTCTATAAATATTGATCTATATTCTAACATTGCTAGCAAGAGATAGAAATCTACATCTCTAACACCCCACCATTTCCCGCTCTTTTCTTCCAACATGACTAAAGTTATATTTCATCAAGTGTAATTTCCACTTCTCATTTATTCTCTTGGAATATAGAATTTATATAATTTATATACAGTATGTTTCCTTGTCTTCTTGATTAAAGAAAGATAAAGTTTTGGTCAAAACTGGTATATGATCAGTAAGAATTGGTATAAACTACAGATCATATGAGTCACATCCAATCTGCGTCATATTTTACACAAAGAAACATACTATAGAGATAACACAATCCTGAAAATTCAGTGGATAAAAAATAATTTTTGAGTTAAATGTTCTACAAATTCTGTCATTTTTAATGGAATACCCTCTAAAAGCACATTCCAGATTAAAATCTATAGTGATATTCAAAGAAGATTTCGGGCAGACTTATAGCTTCTATTTGTACCCTTCTGATATCAAGTCCATCATCTTAAATTTCCCCAAAATTGACCAGATTATTGTGTTTCTATCACCAATGCTATAAATTGCAAGAAGTTATAGATAACACCTTATGAATTGCTTTAAGAAATAATTCATGGCCATAATTTGTCAATTCATCAATTTTTTTAGGTATTTCTTAACTTGATCTATAAGCCCAAATATTTTTATTTCTTCAAACTGAATAGAAAAAAAAGGTGAAACTAAATAAGACTATTTTGAGAAATTATGAGATAGAGGACTTACAAAGATCAAAATATAAACTGTTTTTACTAGAAAATGACTTAGATTTAGTGGGTAAAATGGCTGATATAATAAAATGTCTGCATTCGACTGTGATATTATGAAAAAGTGTAAATTGCCAGTCATCTTCTCTTGGGACCTATATTTATCGTACATGTCTACTTCACCCTGCATTTTTCTCACTTCCATCCAAATCAATAATATGCCGAGAAGATGTTGAGCGTGGTACGTCTCTAGGGACAGATTTGAATTTACAGGAACCAAACTTCAACAGTTTTAACAGAATATTTCCTTTTGTTAAACAGTGAAAATTATATAAACTACAATTGATGTATTGATCACTATTTTTACAGTGAAATACTTTATTTTTTATTATGTACAGATATAAATATATAACAGATTCTGAATAAAGGAAATATTAGATAAGAACAAACCTTAATATCATAATACAAAGCTGAAAGCAGTAATTATTCATTCTGGCAGGATGACCACAGGGAGTGACCACTAGACATTAAATCAAATACTTTCATAATAAATCTAATAAGGAAATTTAGAGGCAGTGCCATTTTAAGGTTGATTTGGGTCTTGAATATATGTAAATAGTCTTCAGAAGTACTAGAAATGTACATAAATCACACAAATCCTTCAAAATACCTCAAACCTGGAATTTCACAAGTTGCAAAAATGAGTTGTTATTTTAACTTTCAAACGCTGATAATTCTGGACACACATGATTTTTATGGTTAAAATTTTGATGGTGAACTATGATCACTGTAACGGATTAGCCTAGCTACAAAATTCCTGTTTCTGAGACTAAAGCCACTATAAAGCGTTTCTTTTTTTCCAGACCAGGCTGCGATAAAGTGTGCCCATTTACTTTACAGAAAATTCAAGAACTCAGTGGAAATGAAAAGCGTTTTTTGTACAGTTATTTGTGGAACTTTCTTTGAAGAAGTTAACATTAATCCTTGTAACCTGTTTACATTACACATAATTAATCTGTTTTGTACTCGGATAAATTTTATAATTTAAAAGGGGTTTAAGGTACAATTGGTCTTTTTCAAAATCAATGATACCTTTAAAAGAACTAAATTATCAAGTCTGCTAGAATGAATATCTTAAGCAGACATGAACTTTAGTCCAATTATTTATACACCCGTACAGAACATTATATCAACCCCCCTTGATCAAATGGTCAAAACTCCATAAAGCCATAGCAATTACTATCTACTTAGCATTTTGGCTTCTTTCAAGAATGTTGATTTATTTATGAATGTTCAGTGAATGCATCAGTTTATCTATGAAGAGTTGTACTCCATGTTTTTGCTATCAGTGTTAGAAATAGGAATCTAATATATTGTAGATTAGCCATGCTCAATTAGTCCAGTTTTGATAGGCCAGCTCAGGTGTGGAATTTATTTTCATTCATAAAACACAGCTCAAGTATAAACACCTGGGTTGTTTTGATAGAAACATCAAAACTTTAAAGATGTCTTCAGTAAAATATCTGATTGATATTATTAAGTTTGAGCTCCACTATAATATATAATTTGGCTGGAGACGCTGGTGATGTCGGGCAGGACATTTCTACTATTTGACACCTTCAAGTTCAACAGTATGGTTTGTCCTTCTATCAACATGTAACATTGTAACCTTGTATTATTATGTGGCATTTAGTCCAGAACTATTGCCAAATGTCATGAAAAATGTCATCTTTAAATAAATAACATCAGAGCAACTAGGACCATTTCTTTAATTGACAATTATTTCCATAAATCAGAAGTCATTTCAAATAATGAAGCAAATCAATGACTTACAAACAAGAAGATAGCATGCAACGCAAGGTAGCATAAGATAACTGGCAGCTTTGTTCATATTGGGACATTTGGCAGAATTGCACCTATCACCAGTACATAATATTCAACTAGTTGTCAATCTACAGTTCTCTTAAAAATCAAATGTCTTTCAAAGAACAAGGGCAATAACCTTTAACTATTAATATTTTATTTCCATGTTTAATAGAATTGGACGGGTGATAATAAACAATTTTACCAAGATTCCTCTAGTTCTGTCAATAAGTGCCTTCAAGAGAATTTATACCCAAAAAATTGAACTTGTTAAGAATCATGTGGGCAAAAACTTTTTGTGATTTTTAATGTAATTTCATATATTTCTATTCAGTACCTTCTAGAGTGTTAAAACATGAGGTGGACATATAAAAAATTCAATACTAGTATAACGAAATGTGATGGATTTTATAGGCACTTTCAATAAACCAATACTCCGACCCATTTTAGTAAAGAAATGTGCATTCACGAGACAGTTTCAATCTTGGATTAAAAACTTCTGAAGTGCATCTTAACAGATTAACTTGGCCAACGATAGTAATTTGCACTTGAAATGACTTAAAACAAACGAGTAAAATGAAGTAGACTGAAGATTTAAACTATTTTCTCCATGCAAGAGCATGTTCATCAGGCATACAGAAGTGGATATATTTACATTCTGCCAGGAGTTGGTGGTAGTCTCAAGAAGCAGTAGAGAGATTTATGAGGAATTGAAAGGCAACGAGGTAGAAGATAATAAAACTAAATAAGAGGTGTTCAACTCATCTCAAGCCTCATTGAAGATCATTTGAATAATTGGTGAAGTAAATGTTAATATCCTAGTGTCTATAAGAATAGATGGTCAGAATGTATCTTTTCATATTGATGTCCTTATAGTGTTTATTTTCACTTATCATTCATAACTCTTTGAAATACTCAACAAAATCTTTCTTTAACTCTTTTCATAACTAGCAGTTTTACATGGAAGACTGCAGGTTTCTTTATC